ATCAACTGTGTAATAACGTTTAGTTTTTTAACATAATTCGGCAGTACAAGTACTAGTGGATTCCGAATCCTGTTTCTTAGATTTTTTTGCCTGGCACTGATAAAATATTTCTGTTGATAATTAAAGAAATTCCCGAAAATACAGGCTTATACCCATGAGCACTTGATAAAAAAAATTATCAGACAACTCTCCAAAATTTGCAAAGGTGTAATAGATTTCTTCCAAGAGAGTACGACATGTTTCTACTAATGAAGGCCAGAAATTTCACTTTTCACTCACTTAAGATATTTCGAGTTCTTCTCCCAATTATTTTTAATAGGTAAGAGATGTTCAGTGTTATTGCACGCATGTGCATCACCACAATAGCTATTTTATTTGCTATTATTCTTAGTTTGCAACCACGTGACATGGCGGCCAAGTTGGAGGTCAATACAATAAAATTCTCTTCATAGAATGTACATGAAAATCGAGTTTAGTTCCCAGAGGATAGGCATCCTTTTGATTATAGCTGCCATGACGTCATATGCAAACCAGGAGTATAACTTTTAGACGCTAAAACAATGGGCACATTTGAAAATTAATATGTGTAATCAAATGGTGACGAGTGTAATTAGCGAATAATTTCAAGCTCGTTTTGTCCAAATCCTAGGAAAAGTTTTAGGATTTGGACAAAACGCAAGTGAAATTATTCCCTAATTTCACAAATATACCATTTGATTACCTAGTATTAATATTATGGTGGACGAGGTACGTTTGCAATCGTAGATTTTTGACATGTTTATCCTGGATTTATCGTATCGATCAAGAACTCTCTACTGTCTAAAAAGTTTAGAGTTGGTATTTAGCTCAAGTTCAGAATTTTCGACAAAATAGAAATAGAATCCTTCGTGATGTGCTCTTTCGTGTGTTTAGGTTTTCTAAAGCGTCTATTTAATGCCCTGACATCTTCAGTCATAAAATTTTAAACCATCTTGGCACTGAGACGTACGCATGGTCGGTTGCAATGCGGGCGATTTTTTCATTTCACATGTGAAACAAGAGTTTGTGTGAAATCATAAATTAACGCTGAAATTTCGCCAAAATGAAGGAGTAATTCGGAACCATGACGTTACACTTTTATCAAATTGTCCCCAGCAATAAATTTGATATGTGTTACAATTCCTTTCAGAAATAACGGTAGCTGGTCAGGTAATGGATGTTCATTGGTTAAAACAAACGGCAGTCACGCTGTGTGCACGTGCAATCATCTGACGAATTTTGCAATTTTAATGAACATCAAGCCACAGGAGGTAATGTGGTTGTGGAATATACTAGATCATGATTTAAAACTCCACAGAAGGCAATGCAAGCGATAATCTCACAATCAAACGGTATACACAGCTCTGTAGCATTCAATTCCATGTAAACTCAAAACCCTCACATCAATCCGATGTAAAAGAACGTATTTCAGGTATTTCTATACTTTCTGAAAAATTGTAGACGCGAACTTTATGTTTTTTCTTTTTGTCCTTTTCAGATCCCAGAGAAGCACAAAACAGCCTTAGACTTTATCACATACATTGGACTGGGAGTCTCCTTACTGGCAGAAATTATCACAATCGTTGCCTATATGCTACTGTTGTAAGTATTACAAACTTGAACGAGAGCCGCTAGTAGGATTATTCCATGAGATACTATGTACACTATCATAACGTTGACAAGAAAATCTTCTCGGCTTGTTGTTGTTGTTGTTGTTTACAAGTTCGAAAAGCGAAGGTTATTATTAGCAAAAAGAAGCAATTCAAGTTTTTAATTATTTATTTTTACTACGAAATATGCGTATAACGCTAGTTTGCGAGTTTAAACGTGACTAGCTATAAATTAAAACAGCTATTACAACAATATAAGGACCTTTAGCTTTTTCTAAAAGTACTAGATCTCCTAGCCAAACCTTAGAATATTTTCTATAAATAAATTTTTACTCGCAAGTAGTACAATAGTTGACTCATAATTGTTCACTTTTTATACCATCTGTAGATGTTCGAATAATGATCAGCAAAGTCATGTGCACATGAACTTAGTCGCCACGCTAGCAATGGCTCAAGTGATTTTTCTGGCAGGAATAGACGCTTCACAAGATCAGGTGATTAAGAGTAGTTTAACTATGAATAATAAAGCTGATAACATGCTGATAATGGTGACGATGGTAATCAAAACAAGGAATAGGAGATGTAGAGGGAGAAGGTGGATGATGATGATGAGGTGATGACGATGATAATGACGACGAAGCCAAGGCGATAACCATGAGTGATAACGACGATGGTGATGATGATAATGACGACGACGATAATGACGAGGTTGAAGACGATGATAGGATAGACAATAACAAATTTAAGCAAATCACTACGGCGACCTCTACTACGGCGATTGGAAGTAAAAAAGCCCTAAACAAACGCAGTGTGCATGCTTGGAAATGACCTTTCACCGTAGCACCAAATCCTAGAACGTGAAGACCTGTCTTGAGGCGTAGTATCTAATACGTGAGAATAATACTCGACTTTTCTCTTATTTTATTTTTTTTCTTTCCCTTTTTTTTTTTTTTGCAATCAAAGGTCTTTAAACCTATCATAGACTTTTTTCACTCTATGGGGAAGGTAATTGACGCTTCTGGTTTTCCAGTAATTACATCTAATGTGCGTTATACTAATTACAGCGAAAGCAACTAAACGAGACACCCCGTAGTCACTGTTTGGGTGCCGCTTACTTATAGCCGAAATTTGGCGGGCTGCGGGCTGTGACGTACTCTCCCTAGGATTAAAAACTTCTTAATTTAATGTGTTCAGCGTTAACACGTTATATAAAAATATACGGGAGATTTAAGGCAATCAGAAACGGAGAAATAGCTTGAATCAATTGTTACTATAACGCATTATTCTGTTCCAATAGGTGCTGTGTTTGACAGTGACCGCTTTGTTACACTACTTCTGTCTATCAGCCTTCTGCTGGATGTTGATCGAGGGCATTATGTTATACTTATTAATTATTGAAGTCTACAATAACGAACTCAAGCTCCGTCTTTGCTACACTTTTTCATTCGGTAAGTCTCTCAGTGAAGAAACGCAAGTTAAAGCCAAGAAATCTCTGTAAAATTTTGAAACAAAGCTGATGTTTTTTTGACACTGGAAAACGCCTTCCCTAGATTTTGCTTATTTGCTATATCTGCTATCTTTCTGGTCTATTGCGGTAAAATATGATATAGACCAAAACTCTTTGGGTTGATCTTTCAAAGTACTTAACAGTGCTACCGGATGTCAAATCAAATACACCAATAGTTGACTTGGTGACTTTTATGCACTGCACGAATTTACTTCCGTTCACTAAACCTACACTCACTTCAGTGTCGTTCGTCAGCTTAAATTCTTGTTGTGTTCAAGATTAACCCTTTCTTCTAAATCTTAGGAAACAAAATACAGTGATATGATGGTCATTTTGTGTGCACAGGTATCCCAGGACTTGTTGTTGGAGTAACAGTGTTAATTGCCCATTTGGGAGAAAAAGGGATTTATCAATACAAATCCAGTAGATGGTAAGATTTTCTTATTGCCTTGCAACTGATTATATAGAAACTCATTAGGATACAAGTACTAGTATCATGTGGATACGGAAACTAATCTTTTTCCTGACTCTGTGATTCCAAGCACTGCTTTTGCAAAGTTGATAAGTATGAGGCAAGGAGAAAAAACGCACAAAATTGTGGCTAAATACCCGTAAACTATGTGATCGTTTGCGCGAAAGAGAAAGATGCGTTAAATATAACCTTGTCTAATGGTATAAATTTTACAAATGTGCACCTCTGTAGACAAAAGAGAACTTCTACTGTCATTCCACGTCCCTTGTACTACATTTATTGCACTGTAATCTTTTTGTTATCGCCGTAAGCACATGTGCCTTTTGGCGCTCTGTTGAGAATAAAACAAGCTCTCTAGCTATCTATCTATCCATCCATCCATCCATCCGTCCGTCCGTCCGTCCGTCCGTCCGTCCGTCCGTCCGTCCG